TTGCATTTTGCAAGGCATCTTAATTCATTGCATTGTGCGGTCTTGAATTTTTAGTTCTTTGTTACGCGAGTGTCGTTTGATTCTTTTATAGGTCTCTGTAGAGAAAAAGCCGCTTTCCCTTTTTAGTTTGATTTAGCTCAGGCCCTAAAGAGCTAGTGAGCGCCGGTACATGGTATCTCCGCCTGCGAAAAGTACAGTCTCCAGCCGAGGTACATTATCGATTTGATCTTGTACTTGAGGTGAGTCAGCTATTGCTCCCTCACTGTATTTAGTAGCTATGAGATTATCTTCTCCAAAGTGTGAAACACACTGGATTAGATAAGTACATGGCACCGTAGTTTTCTTTTAAGTTGTCAGAGCTAGCTGGACTGTTTTAGCCTTGCAGTAGAAAAAGAGTATGCGACATACGCAATCAGCTAGAAGTGGACATGAATCTTGTGCCTGCTGAAAAGTAGAGCCTACCTGTACAGGGTTCCACTCCAACAGCTGATATAGTGTGTCCATGCTTGACTGCTTCAAGGCTCAAGAGAGGGTCAATGGACCCAAAGAGCAAGAGGATAAGACTCTGCGCATAAAAGACACTAGCGGTCTGCACCTCTACCGTGTACGCCCTAGTCACTCTTTCACCCCCCCCCCGCCGAATCCCCGGGCTCTCCCACCTCACAATACCCGGTGGCCCCCCCACGCGCGGGGCAGAGGATGGCCTGCTGGTGGATGGCTGGTGGTGGTCGGCACAAAACCGAACCCAACCCTATGATTTGCGCCTGTTTGATGGTGACCTCTTAACAAATGGAAATAGCTTCCGAGACTCCAATGTAATTGTTGTTGTTTTTAAGGACACGTGATATGATACAGTAATACAGTATGTCCTTTCTAGTTTGAGGTTACTCGATATGTCTACGCCCAAACTAAAGTTTTGGCTCGCTTCCGTCTAATTATCTTCGGCGGAAGCCTGCACAGCTGAGCCTTTCTTTCCGGGGTTGACGGTTGACAGGGACCTCACCGCGAAAATGTTGTATATCGAAGATTCCCCGAGACTTCAGTTCCGCATCTGTCCCTTGCGATAAGAGTGAAAAAGGAGGAAAAATCTTACATCGGGTACCAGATGGTACCAGCAGGTCTTGCCCCGGCTGTCAACGAAGTCATCAAAAGGCCAGATTAGGTGGAGAAACCTTACATCTTCTGCCCCAAAGCCAAGGGAGATGGATGACCAACACTTGGAAAGCATGATCTATGGATGATCGTTGGTCGGAAAGGTTTTGCAAGGAAAGCTTACGTCACGTTCAGCCATCCTGTTTCCTTCCCTGCACAGATTCCGTCGCAGCGGTCTGAGAGGAGTTTCCAAAAATGAACCGGTCGTAGTGGTCGTTTCAGTCTTCCGAAATCTGATCAGGAAAACCTCCTTGTTTTTCCAAGAAATCAGGATGGAAGACCTTCAATGCTTTCAGGATGGAAGGCCTTCAATGCTTGCATACCTGTCTTGAAGATCAGGAAAACCAGCCAAATTCTTGATCTGAATTCAGTCCTGAAGGGCTTTTCCAACACGACCAAGAAAAAAGGTCGATTCACCGGCCGCCGACCCGCCTGCTCTGACTGTAATGCGAACAAATGGGCACAGATGCAATATCCTCGAAGGACCTGGATGTTGCATCTGAAAATCCAGAGGAAAACAGGATGGGTCTTGCCAAGAAACAAACAACCCAGCTGAATCCATCCAGCTTCTTGAAAGTTTCCAGCTAATCAAATGTGTCATGGAGCCATTGTAGGCTCAATACTGTTCAGCGTGGTGAAGGCAGGAGGCAAATCAGGATGAGGGTGATCAAACCTAGGGATCATCCGACATGCAGTCGTGCACCTCATCTTGGCATCCCATTCACTGCCTGCGCAGAGGACTTGCACAGGATTGTTCTCGCTGCAGCGATGCAGTAGTGTATGAGCAAGTGGCAAGTTAAATGAATCCAAAAGGAAGCCATCACCACCCAGTTCAGGTGGTCTATAGACTCTTCACCGCCCTCACCATCTGTTGAGCCTATAACCATGGGTGGTGCTCTTCCGGCCAAACTCCTGTTGGTTTGTACATGAGACCTCAAAACCCGGACATACCTGGACTGCTGGAAGTCAAGTGCTACATGCTGTGCTTGGTGTACCTGAGTTGAAGGCAAACAGAATGGTCACACCTCGTTGTTGAAACACTTTTTGGTTGCTCCCCTGTTTCAACCGACGACCACCCAAGTCAGAGCCGACCTTCCTGCATGTCCAAAGCCCAGCTCCTTCACCTACCTGAACTACATCTGACCATCTTAGATTGATTTCTGAAAACCAAAATCCTTTAGGCCAAGATCTCCCTCGAAATGTCCCTCGCACCTGCCTGGACGATCGCAGGGACGATCGCCCATCGCAATCAATGACAAGTCAACGCAATCAAACCCCAAATATCTATGAAGTACTCAGCATCAGCCACCTCGCATAAACCTCCACATCCACCAACCAGGTGTGCAGCGGGAGCATCGTTTTTTCCAGATGCTATCAGCTATGCCATAAGCAATTCTGATTCAATTGATCTGCTCTACGAATTCGCAGATTCAAAATTTGTAGAAATGATGAAATTCCATCGCTGAAACCGGATTCGTCTCGGTATGGCACCCAGCCCAGCCCCGACCTGCAAGGCACCCCGCCGCCGTGGCGCGCAGCTGCCGGACGGGCCGAAGCAGCTGGCGGCGACGATAGAGGTTCCTGGAGGAGAAACCGCAGCAGATTTGCCGCGGCCAATCACGCCACAAAGTCCACACGTTCGGCAGAAACAAGCTGTGGGTTTCGGGTGTTTCAAAGGGACTCGATGTGGATGATGTGGTCCAGGGCGCTAGCTTTGGGAGGAAAATCATGGTGCTTTTTTGAGACTGGGCAGCTTTGGAGGCACTTAGCAGCTCGCTGCGGAGTTCACACTCCCCACGGGAATTCCTATGCTTGGACCTTCCCAAAAACCTCGCTCGAAACTGCCTTTGACGAAAAATCCGTTTTGATAGAAAAAGGCCCTGGTCGCTCATGAAGTTCGTTCCTGGTCCAAAACGACAGCAGTGACCTGGTCTACGGCGCGGCTCATGGCAGATCCACCAGTCGTTCCGTTGGACGTTGATCGTTCAGGTGCCGTCGGTAGGGGGGGTGCGTGGGAAGGTTTTCCGGTTTTCCGATGCTTCACAAACCTGGATGGTGCTGCTTCGTTTCACGGAAAGGTTCTCTTGCTGAAACTCGGTTCTCTAGCTTCCCGCTAGTTCCTCTTGAGAATACGTTGAAAAAGGATGAAAAAGGATGGGCACCTCCAATTTGAACCCAAAGAAGACCTCGTTTTCTTCCACTATTTGGGTGACTTGTGTCTTTTTCTCGTGGCCCACCAACCATTGCCGCAGGATCCCTGAGACTGATTTCTTGTGTTGCACAGCACCCGTGTTGCCTGGTGAGTTGGGTGTCTCCCTTCTCGTGGTCCCCCAAATAGATACAGAAGTAGATCCCCACTCAAAACGTCGACACCGTGCCACTCTCTATTCCGGATGAATCCGGGATCACGAGACATCAAAGTATCAGATACCCCCCTTTGGTACGGTTGCTGAAGCAGCAGATCACAGGGTCAGTCTCCGCTCCCGTGGGATCTCCCGCAGATCTCCCGTCCCCCGCCGGATCGCTTGCATGAGGTGCGGGGAGAGGCCCAGCTCCTGTGAGGCTTGGAAGGCCACTCTCAGACGCCGAATAATAGACAATGGTTCATGTGTCTAGAGACTTTGGAGGGTTATGCCAGTTATGCTATGTCAATGTGTGATTTTTCCGGTGTTTCTTAGGTCAAACAGCATAACAGCATAACAGGTGTTTCTTACGTTACAAATGTATGATTCTGGTGTCTGAAAGTCGAATCCAATGAAGCACAACAGCACAACTGGACGTAGGATGTTATGTCAAAGCTGATGGCTGATTTCCCGCCAGCAGCTGCGAGTTGTTTTACCTGAAAAACCCAAACATGCGAGTTGCCTTTTTCTACACATGACTGTTGTGAAGAAGATCCACTGGTGGAAGGAACGCAAGTTTACCAAACGCCATACGCTTTGGACCGTTTGCCAGCAGAGCGCTCTCACTTCCGACAGCAGAGGCCCGGTCTGAAACGAAAGAGGCCAAGTCTGACCCTCGGTTTTTTCCGGAATGCTCCTGCATAGGAGGACATGCTCTTGGACTGTCAAGAAGTGGCGACATTGGCCAATCTCGATCTGTTGATCGTGTTGATCACCGTTTCTGTTCATGCTGAAAGGGCATCGCCAGATCTGGAGTGAAAGACATTTAGAACGTTGGATGTCTCCGTAGACTTCAAAGAAATGCTGCAAAAAGGCTGCTGGCATCAGAAATCATCAGAATGCTATTATTCTTTTTGAGGGCTATGGTTCACATGCCTCTCTGTCTGGGTGGTGGTCAAGCCCTCTCGGCTACAGATCCTTTGATGTGTAGATCGGCTGATCCAGCTTGGACATCACCCAAAAAGCGGGAGAATCTCAACTTCAACGATGCTGGAGGATCATCGGGTGTCGAGGCGAGCATGCATTTGTCATCACTCAAGACTTCGCATGGGGCCAAGGTCTTAATGGTGCGTCCCGCACTGGCCATCATCATTTCTGCGCTCGTCTGTCCCTGCCTGCTGGGAAGACCTGTCCCTGGTCACCCTCTGCTTCCTCTGCTTCACACACTTCACCAGCAAGTCCCCCACCCGTCTACCCGGTTCCTGGTTCCTCAAATGCCGTTTCACGCCGTTTAGGGAAAGAAAGCATGTTCCACAGGTTCCACACTCTTTGAATGAGCAAAATCATGTGTCTCTGGAGATGTTCGTTTGAGATACCTTAATTATATACGTGGATGTGAGGTGGTGTTGTGGGATCCCAGTCTTGCATCAGGTGGCACACCTCATCTTGGCCACTTCACGAGAGATATGATCAACCTCAAACCTTGCGCCTCCACCGTTGTCTTTTTGGGTCCGCGAGCGGCGCTCACAGCGCTGAGGAGCCTTTCGGCCAAAGCATCAAGAAACGTGCAATATGATGACCGGGAGTGCGGTAAGTTGGGTTGGTGATCTCGATGTCAAGGGTCTTCGTGGGACTTGGATGGGAGTTTGGAATGGCTTATCCTAGCCACTAAGGCTCTAAGGCCTTCTATCAATATGTCTTAAGATATACACACAAAAACGTAAAAAGTACCTTGGACAGGGCGTCATTGTACAATTTCCAAAAGCAGATTCTGAAGCCTGTCATGCACTCACCTATCGAAAAATAATACAACTTCCACTCCGGGATGCCTGGCTACATCCCTGACAAGTATTGAAAAGGTGCGTCTTTATACATCCTCAATTCAGTTCCAGAACCATTTGAGAACGTCCAAATGAACAAATCTATGACATTTCACTGCAGATTCAGGTGATTTGAAGGATGCCCACCCCCATTCAAGGCCCAGTGGCTGCTAGCTGCTAGCGCATGCTACCGCCCAATGATTGACCCTAGTCAGTCAGACCAACCTGGGTTCCAAGCTCATTGAGGCTCATCCATCTCTTGTGCCTGCCAGGTAGCTGAAAAGGTCGTCATGGCTTAGCTTCGCAACACATCCACGGAAGCAGCCAGCAGCCAGTCATTCATGTTAACAACAGTTCTGCACATGTTTGTGCAGGTAATTAGCCTGAGTTCCTATCTCTCTTTCGGCTTTTGGCCATTCACCATCAGTTCTCTCGGCTTGCCTCCAAAAAAAGGACAGGGACGTCCCTCCCAAAAGTCGTTGATCCGGGGAGGGAGTTGGACGTTTCGGTGGTCCGAGACTGATCGTTTCGGGGGCCCGTTGGACCGTCCGACCTCCCGCTCAATCGTTGCCAGCGCACATTTGAGCCTGGGACGTCCAACCACCCGCTGGGCGACTCTGGCACAACTGGGTGGAGATTTGGGGTTTTAAGGACATGGGGGCTGGTGGGGCTGGTGTTGAAAGAAACACACCAACGAAGGCAAAGTATACCATCCCACTGAAATCCTCATGCACACATCGTAAAGTTTAAAGGAGAAGCAGGAACTTCGTTCTGAGAGGATGTAAACGGAACCTGTACAGTCCGGATTGTTAACACAGATCCTTGTTGGAAGATGATGTCTAGAAAGCGAACGTGTGAGCGAAGTCGCTGTTTTTGTGGTCTCCTCAAGCACCGATTTGCCCACCCGTGCGCAACGAGTTCAATCTGCCAAGCACACGAACGTCCCAAGCACCTTCATTTTAAGCACCTTCATTTTAAAGGGATCAACTCAAGAAAACGATGGTCAAAGCGATGTGCGCGTCTGGACCGGGACGGACTATGGAGTTGAGAGGACGTTGCGCTGGGTCAAGTGGACGATTCCACGCTTCAGAACGTCCTCGGTATCCACGCAGCTTCCGATCTCTCTTCTTGTGACCCGCGCAGTCCAGCACCTCACGGGCTCGCCCGGTCCGTCGCACGGGTCAACCGGTCCGGTCCAGTCGGTGGAGTGGTGATTCACTGGGTGACCGAGCGGAGACCAAGGCTGACAGGTGCATCCCCAGCAACCAAGAGAAGAGCCTTGTAGTTGGCTGAACCACCAACGGACGACGGGACTTGAGATGGAACGATTTCCACACACCACAAAGGGTCGGTCCGTGGAAACGACCGCAGTGCTCGGAACAGACCCCCGTGACCGATCTCGGGCCAAGGCCGGACGTTCTCATCATACGAGTCCCTGCACGATCGAGTCCCTGCAGCCTACTTCAGGGTGCAGGAAGGAAACTCCTCACTCGAGCGAGCGAGCGAAATCGAGCAGAGAAGGAGGCCTCGAACCAGTGCTGGACTTTCTCTTTGAAGGATGCATCATCCAGTGCGCGGGGCACCTCAGACCAGCTCCAAAGGGACGAAGGGACGAAGGGATCTGGAGCGGTGTTGGACGGTGTTGGATGGTTTTGGGGGTCTAGACTGGGACCAAGAAGCGGTTTATATGAGGTCAGGAATCCAGAACCAAACGCGGGTTCACGCCGAATGGATAAGTGTTTAGAGATGTTTAGAGCTTTTGGACAAATTCCAGTCAGAATGAGATGAATGAGTTGTTGCGAATTTACAGACTTGACTTGAGGTCTTACTTCTTGGTCCCGTGATGTCTTCTTACTCCGCCTTTTGCTTTCTCTTCCTCTTTTTGCTTCTCCCTTCTCAGAACCCCTTTCACTTTGCGCCAGCCCAGTTGGTGAACCCAAAAATCCTCCCGGAAACCACACATCACCACGCCGCAAAACCCAAAGACAAGACCCGACCGTCGACCAGACTCGCCCTGCTCGGCTCACGCCCGAGGAAGGGGCGCTGTTGCTCAAGATCCGCCACTTTCGGCGGTTCATGTCTGCAGACCACCAGGTGTTCACCTCGGGGCGGTGGGAAGCGGAAAGAGGTTACAGTAAAGATCTGGGAGAAGGTGGAAGCACCTGGAAAAACACTCCAAAAACAAATGAAGGAGACCTGAGATGATGCAGGCATTGGTCGGAATTGGTTCGGGCATGGCGAAGATTGACCCAGCCACTGAGTTCGACCTGCAAAAATCCAAGGCAGGGCCAGGACGGATTCATGACCTGAAAGATTCTGTAACACAGCAAGCAATTCAATGCCACTATATGCCACTCAGCCCCCCACAGATGTCCACTCCACCTCCTAGCATCAGGAACGCAAAAAAAAAACGAGAGCACTCTGTAGCAGTATCACCAAGAGAGCTTCCAAGGAAACTGTCAAACAGAAATTGTTGTCTTGTAAATTCACCTTGCATTGAGAAGCACCGTGAGTCTGGGCCAAGCCCTGAACCAAGAGAACCAAAAGCCCTGAACCAACGCATATCCGGCTCCATCCAGTCTCCGGCTTGGATACTGCGTGGCGTTTAGTAGACATCTACCAACAAGAAAAGGAACCAAAAAAACTGTTTGGAACAAAAGAGCTTTGACCCCGAAGTTGTTGCTACCATCGATCTGGCGCAACTGGAGTTGGTGCTTGCAGGCTCCGTCACGGGGATCGTGGGGTCAATGGGGTCAATGCGAATCCCGAAAACCCTGTGGGGTAATGCGGTCAGCCAAAGGCCACTGCAACCGGAAACAGGCGAGTCAATTGATCATGATACCAACCGGTCAGTTTGTCATGGCAACCAGGTGACGCCAACTTCTCCAATGGGTCAGTTCATTCATTGGGGTCAGTTCATTCAGTTCTCCTTGGCACTCGACACCGTCGTCTTTTGAAGCTTCCGCCTCAGAGGATTGGGTGATCGAAAACAACTCGATGTACTGCTCTAAACCTGGACACGTTCCTTGAACCGGGCCACCAGAACCCCAAACCCGAGCACTTTCGTTCAGACATACTGCCGCATACCATCCTGGTCAAGGCATGAGGTACAATATTCAGGCCCAACAGACCTCTATAAGACACCATATTATAAATATATATATATATATAAGTTCATGCTGCACGGAATGCTTGGAGGCTACAATCATCCGCCAGTGCAAGAGGGTTCCTATCCATCAAAGGTAGCATTCCTTGGTCTCCTGCATCAATCAATCTCAAAAAGGATGGCTGTGGGCCATCGTCCACGCCAAAGAAATCCTCAAAAAGAATTGAAAGAATACAAAAACAAGAAACCCAACAAAGATGGCTGAGTTCATTTTTCTGAATCCTCAAAAAGGATGGCGTTTGTTTCTGCATGGCTTGTAAGACCCCCTTGTGGCCTTTGTTCTGAGCGCTCCAGCACCAAGAGCCGGAGGAACGTCTCTTGCTCGATGGGAAAACCATATTTGTCCTGCCAAAATCATCCCCTGATCCAATGGCTGTGGGAAAAACGGCACCCCAATTAGTGAAGGAACATGTCAAAACGCACGAGAACTGAGTAAACTGAGTAAACGCGCAACCTAAAAACAAATGCAAGTCGGGTGTGTTTGATTTGATTGAACTATATAAATTCACAGCCACCCGAGGCACCTCAGACTCGATGGGGAGAGGTTGGTTCCACCGTGCTTCCACATGCATTTCGGGTGCCTGGTGCCTTTGCGGACTCTGGTGAACCGTGTCCGAGTCCCTTCTTTGAACAACACCTCACCCCCAACCGGCCCCTCCGGGACACCCAGATGATGGACGCACGCTGCGCTGCGGGTTGGAGTCAACCTTTGGGTGTATAGGAAATCACTAAGGTTAGACGATATGTTGATCTCCCCAAAAGATCCTGATCCGATCATGTCCACGACGGTCGAGGGTTGTGTTAAGCAATATGATCAAACAAGAAATCAAACTCTCATTTCGAGAGAAAGTGAAGTATTTACTCAGAGTCTCGGGAGCAAAAAGAGACCGATAGTAAGGTAAACACTTGACAAACACACTTACTGGGTCATTTTAAGGGGCCTCTTGGTTTATCTGTCTTTTCGAGTGGCTACAATATGTCTCTTGGTGGAGTGCCTTCCTTGGACAGCTCTGATCCATCTTCTCACTGCATACATTGAGCCAGGTTTCTTGGGGGAGGAACCTCCACGCTTCCGTTTGAGTAGGCCGGGTTTTCACAGCTTTTGATTGATTGTGCTTTCCCGGCGTGCAACATGTTTTTCACCCGCTACTTGGTCAAACAGCCCGACGTATGAGTACGTAACGCCAAAGAATAAAGAAGGAACAGCGCACGGAACACATGCAGAACCCGCACCTCAAAGCACTTTCGTGTACATATTGGTGCCTGCTTCCCTTGTTTTGGGGTCAGGTGTTCGGATCCGCAGATCCACAGTTGCCAAGTACGCTGAGAGGGATGGTGATTGGCGATCTCCGATCGAACAATGGAGGGCTCGAAGGAGTGAGAAGATGGGCTCGAAGGAGTGATCTAAGATGAATTCAACCCGCTGAAGGCAGCGGGCCGCAGGCTTATCACCACGTCGCCACGTGTGGTTTCGGTCCATTAGCTTGGAACATCGCCTGATACACTGGAGGTCTTCTCGTTTTGGTCCCTGGAAACCTGCGAGGAATTTTTGGGAGCTCTTCGGCCAGGTCTTCTCCTCGTAGGCCAGCAGCCGCGGCATCAGCCGGGTGTACCAGCGCTGCATCACCCTCGCTGAACGTGCGAGTGGTCAATGTAGAGGGTCGTCAATGGACCGGCCTACTCATGGATCACCATTGCACACCTCAAAGGGATGGTCCAGGATGCATCACCTGGATTTCTTAGCAAGAGCAAATTAAGTCTGAAGGGAAGCAACACGTGGGCGGCCTATCAGTTCACAGCATCATCAGTGAATGAAGGTCTGTTTCCGAGATAATTGTGGTACACGTTGCTAAACCTTCACTGACTGACAGGGGAAAGAGGATACTGTAGATAGACCCAACAACAGTCAGAAACTTTCAGACACGGAGGGCCCAAATCAACTCTCTGACAGTGGCTAATCCTGCCTTGGAGTGAACCCTCTAATGACGAAACATCGGACTTCCCTCCAAAACAGCCTCTTTTCAAGCGCTTCTCAAAAAAATGGAGACCACGCTAGCCAGTCCCAAAATACTCAGAAGTTAGATCAAAAAAATACCCCCCAAAAAAAGACGTTCCGTCACCCCTTTCTGCAGTCACCTGCAATCACCGGTCGACCGTACAACTGAAACGATTTGCATGTCCCGGCTGCTGGGCTCTCCGGGCGTCCGCCAGCCTCGATGGGGAAGCCACTTGCAGACCTGAAGGTGTCCGCGGACGAAATCTGCAGACGAAGCTCTTGATTCCCTCAAGTGATGGGGAAGAATTATATATTATACACATACATTTAGCGAAAACGAAACATTCTGAAACAAGGTGAGAAGAGGTGTCACTTTGTCGAAATGGAAATATGGGATTATGTCCTGTGGCTTTCATGCATGGACCTTTTTCATGGTTCAATGTTTGGCTTGTTTCTTTCATGAACATTATCAAAATAAAATCAATGTTCGTTGTGTGTTTTGTGTGTTCACATGCTCTTTAACTTATTTAACTGCTGTTCTTAAAAGTAATTAGAGCTTTCCAACAGCAACAGCAAGAACAACAACGAGAACAATCCCACGTTGAAGTTCCTGGCTAGTTGCTGTGGTTGACATCCGGAAGGACACACGTAAGGAGATATGATGAATGAGTGACTCAGTGACCGCACATACTGTATTATAGTGGGTTGATACAGGGAGTGGATCCTACGTTAATGAGATCTGGGATTGTACAAGGAGATGAGCCAGTACTTGGACTCTTCTGATGCTTGCTGGAAACACGCAAGACGACAGAATGGAACAAAATCATACTTCTGGATCGTTCTGAACGAGGTTTCTGCTCGCGTTCTTGCGGCGTCTCGGCCAACCGTCCGGGTCCCAAGGTCCAACCGGAAAGACCAACCCTGCAAGCCCGCCCTGGGCGAGTCCTGCGGGCGACCTTGACAACATTGCAACGCCTGGTGCTAACCAAGCTAACAAGCTAACCAAGCTGGCTGTCTTGCGGTCAATCGTGAAAGCAGGTGTTCAGCCCAGGTATGCGATCCGCTGTTTCTGCCCTAGGCGGCCCCCCCATTGACTCCTGATGTCCTGATGTCCCCCTTCACCATTCACCTTTCCGATCACCCACACCTCGGTCCAAGGTATGCTGGAGGTCGGCAGAAGACCTGGTGTGGCCAGACATGGTCCTGGGGGCCTCCTTGAACCTTTGGCCTCGGACCGGACCAGCTTGGCTTGGCTTGCTCCGGACCATCGATCGCACCACACCGACCAAGGCCCCACGGTCAACGAACATGGTCAACTCCCTCGCGTAGCACCGTGGAGTCTGTGAAGCAGCGAACGAAGTGGGACGCAGATCTGCTGAGGGTCCATTCCTTCATGTGGCTGTGGGGTGGGTTGGTGCCGGGACACCCTGGTACCACCAAGAATGAACAGAATAGACATGCAGCTTTCTGGGTTCAAGTACCCTTGAGCTTACGCCTCACGGGGGCCGGGGCCTGTTCGACGGCCTCGCGGCTGTGGGCAGGCGTCTACAGAGTGGACTTCTCCTGTCCACACCTTTTCCACTTAGGTAGATAGGTTCTTTGCACTCCTTTGGATAGAGCCATGGACTTAGATCTGCTTTTGTGTGATTTGGAGGATCCCTGGAGGTCAAGGGCCAGGGCTATCCTTCATGGTGTGGGCGATGGCCCGGCTCTCTGCTGGGAGCACTACACGATCCTGGCTGGAACGTTTTGGTCCCAGGTGAACGACATCTTCGAAGTCTCCCTCATGCAATTTGTTGCTGGCCAGGGTTTTACTGGAGAGAAGATGACGGAAGCCAAGATCTGCATCCACGATGCTCACAAGCGGTCCCTGAATTTGATTGCTGGCGATCCCTTTGTCTGTGCAGGCCTTTTCACGACCCAGGATATTGGCCTCTGGACTGGTGATCACCGTGCTATCCTCCTGAAGAAGACCATGCCTGTGATTGATGAAGCGATTGAATGTCTGCACATCTTTTCAGGTGCCTTTTCTGGATGGGGCCAAGCTCTCAGCTCGCTGCCACGGTTTTGCTCCACTCTTCGATTGGGTACGCAAACGTTTGTTGATGTGGATGTTGAAGTCACCGCTGCACTTGCTCGCAAGCATGGATGCAATGTCACGCCTGCACCAGTTCAGGCCAGTGCTGTATTTGAAGTGTCCCTTCACAAAGTTGTGAGGGCGGAAGTGGCTGACCCTTGCCTGCTGCATGTGGTGCAGCCGTTGGCCAATTTCATTTTTACAGCATCGCCTCCTTGCATTTCATGGAGCCGGGGAGGCCTTGGAAGAGGTCTGAACTGTTTTGAAGGGTGGACTTTTGTTGACTGTTTAAAACAGTGTGCTTTTGCCCAACCCACGATGTTGAACTTGGAGTGTGTGGACGAACTCGCTCGCCATGCCCACTTCCCAATCATTCGTCGTCTCTTGCATGTCATTGGCTATCGTGCTTTGTGGGAGGGCACTCTCCCATACTGTACCTTTGCACATATGCAACGCACTCGTTGGCTCGCCGTGTATGTCAGGGCTGACCTTTTTTCGCATGTTGAAAGCCAGTCCGACCAGTTTCGTGCATTTAGGTTTGAGCAATGGACTTCTGATGCATTTCGATTCCAATTGCCTCGCAGTCTCCGTGAGAAGATCACCATTCCGCAGTCTATCCAAGTGCTGTATGGACTTCATTCGCTCTTGCCTCCGTCAAAGCGCATGAAAATTGCACCAGATATGCCTACAGAGGCTATCATTCGCTCGAGGTACTTGCAATCGCATGAACCGGTCCCCACTGTCTGTGCTTCATATGGTTCCCAACATGAGCTACCGAGGTCATGTCTTGAGCAGAAGGGCATCTTTGCTACACTTCGTGAAGGAGATTTTGGACCTGAGTTCTTGGATCCTGCATTGCTAGCGGGCCTTCTCGGTCTGCTTGAGACCTCGGTCTTCTCCTCCAAGCTTGATGTGCTCTACCGGCAGATTGGGAATGCAATTGCTACACCGCATGCGCTCTTTGTTCTCCTTCAAGGCTTCAAGTACCTCTTCCAGTGGCCTACTGATGTAGTTCAGATTGTCAATGAGGTGTGGACCACCAGGCTTACTGGGCCCAGGACGGTCATCATTGAGGAAGGCAACTTCTACATCTTTGCCAGCACTTCCACCATCATTGATGACATTTGTGTCCGCAGTGAGGTCACATCGCACCAAGAATGCCTCACTATCCACTGCATTCACCAGGGTGGACGAGCTACAGCGTTCCCTGCCTCTCGCGATTGGTCTGTCAATGACCTTTTGGGTTGCTTCACGTGGGATTTCAACATTACTGGGCACATTTATCTTGCTGCGACTCTTTCTCCTCGAGCACGACTCTGGCAAGTATTTGACCAGTATCCACAGTGGACAGTCTTCCTCCAAGGCTTCCCGGTTGCGACTATCCAGCTTGCTTCGAAGGCCCCTTTGGTGTGTCCCTCGACGCAACCGTGGCCAGGCCCTGACGGCCAGCATTCGAACGTGCTTCAACCTCTTGACCAGACACCAACCCAACTCCTCCTTGTCGAGGACCAAGTGCTCTTTGAGGATCGGCACTTTCACTTTGCCTTGGAGTATCTTGAAAACCATTGTCTGGATGCTCCTAGCCTTGGTACTGCAGACATGACCATTGCTTTTGGCTCACTTCCGTGCACTATCACCCTGCCTGGGCTCTCCCACGAGGCTGACCGACTTCGCTGCGTTCATGAATTCTGGGCTTTCGCTGATGGGGACTCCAACCAGCTGGCATTCAAGCTCAATGACCATAGCCACTCAGCATCTGTTGGACCATGTGCGGTCATTTTCAACAAGTACTCCGATGACAAACTCATCTTTGTTATCTTTGAGAATGGTGGATCGCTTTGTGGATTCTTTTTGGCTCCCAGCCTTGAGAATTGTTCCTTCGAGATTGACTCCAAGCTTTACATGATTGCTGCACTCAATGGACAAGAAGTCTCCAACTATCCAGTCCTCATTGATCACGGTGACTTGCTCCAGCTCCGGATTGCAACTGATGTATCATGTGGAGGGCATCATGGTGCCCGTACTGACACACTACCAGCTGGAGCCAACCTTATTCAACGTGCTGAATTTGCGAGCAACACAGGTGGCTGGCTTGCCACTGATGAGATGGACTTTGCGCTGCGGCAGTTCTCCTGGCTTGCACCGGAGTTTGCGGTCATCCACCCAATTGTTCGCTGGAACCTTGAAACTGCGAATCTGGAAGAGAATGACTATCAGGAGATCATGATTGCAAACAACCGGCTCAATGTTTTGCCTATCCTTTCGGGCTCTCATTGGTTGGCTTTTGAAATTCAGCGAGATGGCGCCACCACGCATGTCACCTTTGTTGGCCTTCCTGGACCTTTGCTTCGCTCTGGGTTACAAGTTGTGGCAAGATTACTTGACATCTCTCCCGATCGCTTGCAATACAGCCATGTTCCTCTTGATGACTCTGCTCACTTCTGTGGCTGGGCTTTGCTTCACAGGTGGGCTAATGCTGCAGGCATTTTTGAGCAGATCCCTCACAATGCCGAGCTCTATGGCTCCACCTCAATTGCCATGCGTGCTTTGATTGATGATGTTGTTGAAGATGCTATTGAAGATTGGCACCAACATGGTATTGCACATGGTCTGTGGTACTTTGCTGCAAACATCCGAAGAGCTTTCTTCAGCTTTCTTGCCACCACCACTATTCGAGGCAATGCGGTCACGTCTGATGCTCTACACGTTGTGTTTGATGATGCTGGTCACAGTCCTGATCAAGCTGAGACACCGTTCATTCACATCGACAGCCCTGATAGCCATCTTCACCATCGTATTCACCACTTCAACCACTACCCTGGATGGCTTGGGTCAGATGAGCTAGACTTCATTCTCCACACCATTCGCTTTGTGAGGCCGCAATACTGCTTCATGCCACCTGGCAGCTGGGATTATACCACTGGCCACATTGTATACTTCAATGATGTGCGCCGGGACTTCCGTGCCTACCAACATGTGACATGGTTTGTCCTCATTGACCAGTGCTGGACGCAGATTGATGCCAACAGGAATGATGCTTCCATTGCACTCTTTATGAGTTTGCCTGATGCACTCGCCCATCTTGCGGGGCCGTTGGCCACCTTCAGCATGTCTCAGATCGATGAAGCTCAGCTGACTTGCCAAGTTCACATTATCAGATGCAACCCTGAGGCCAATATGTGTGGATGGGTCCTACTTCACTCCCTTTGTGAGAGACTTCGGATTGCCATTCCACCGCTCGCAAATGAGACGCAGCAGGCCATCAATCTCTCCAGGTTCAGAGTGCACATCCGGAGTACAATTGAGAGAGCAAGGCTTGTCTGGCAATTGTCTTCCTCGTTTCCAAGAATCTCCAACTTTGCTGCCCTGGTGCGGACGAACTTCCTTCACCATCTCCTTGCTGACAGAGGAGTGCCGCAGTAGGCAGCTGGTGGTGGCACTGAGCACAAAGAACCCACCAGCAAGCCAGAGGCTGGTGCGACTAAGGTTGACCAATTGCAGATTGATGATCCTTGGGCCCCCAAGACTGGCAAGCAGAAGAACCCCAAAAAACTCTTCCAGACGAGATGGGAGGACCTTACGATGCCTGCGGACCACCCGCTTATTGACGAGAAGGGAATTCCAATCCCTCAAGTTCACCGTCTTCAGGCTGGTGCCAAAAAGGCTGGAGCTGTTCTTGCCACAAAGTCAGGCATTGCTGAGCTCAGCCGCATCACTCCGTGTGCTACTATGTTGGCCATTCTGCCTGGGAATGACAAGAACCAATACATTGATCTTGGTCTGAAAGTCATTGGCCCGTATGAGCTTGTCCTTGAAGATGCGCAAGCCAAGACTGCTTACAAAAGGCTCGTCATTCTTTGGCAGCTTCATGGTTCGGTCACCTACAAGCTTCCTGACCCGAAAGTGCAATTGACTGCCGCTGAAGTTGCTGAGCTCGTTATGGATGCAGATTCGCGCCTTCTGGGGCCACAGGACACTGAGCAGGCGAGTCAGCAGCATATCTCCTTCCTGAAGCATCATTTTGGTTTGCTCCACCCAGACTTGATTGACAAGGTCAACATGTATGCCTTTCGTGTTGGGAGGCATCCTTCCGCTGGCAAAGATG